TCCTTTTTATTCCCATCTCCTCCTTTCCTCCCCACTTCCCCTCCCCTTCCCCCTTCTCATTCCCATTGCCTCCCTCCCTCCCCTTTCTCTTTCTCTCCTTATGCCCATCTGCTTCCTTCCTTCCTCCCTCCCTCCCTCTTTCCCCTCTCCTTCCTCCTTCTCTCCTTTTTATTCCCATCTCATCTTCCTCCCTTCCTTCTCTGCCTCCCTCCTTCTCATTCCCATCTCGTTCTGGAGAATTTGGCAGCGCTGCCAGTGGCTGTACTTACTGTGGATGTGGCTTTCCCATAGGGGGTGGGGTGAGGGAAGCCACACAGGCTGCAAGGCTGGGCCAGCGAGCAGGCCACGGAGGCGCTGGTGATGGGTATAGTACTGATCTATAACTTGATGGCGGCCATCCGGACTAGAACACGGTGAGCCTTAGATCCGCGGGGCAGCCTTGGAGCCAGAAAAGAACCACTCTGCTGCCTCAGGCCCACCCTCATAGGAGGTGGTGAGGGCGGGGCTGAGGCAGCAGTGTTGCAGAGCTTGCCCTGGCTGCCAGATGCCTCACTTTCCCCAAGTAGGGCGAGGAGCATGGAGAAGAGAAGCCCACTCTGGTTGTTGCCAGTTTTGCTGTTGCAGTGCTGCGTAGCTTGCCCCACCCACCACTGCCCAGGCCCTAGCTTCTCCCTAGCATTATTATTATTATTATTTTGCCAATCTGATTTCCCCTCCATCGCATCTTTTCCATCGTGTTTCTCACCTTCTCTTTGATGGCTGACACCGAAAGGCAGAGCAACAACTGCCTGGAAGTACCTAGTCGGCCCTGGAATGAGGAATACAGGGGCCGACTAGTGGGGTGAACAGGGTCAGGCAGTGGTGCGATCAGCTGGTTCTCCCAACTGCGCAAAATCTTAACAACCGGTTCAGTTGAACCTGTCTGAACAGGCAGAATCCCACCTCTGTCTGTAGGATCAAAACATTACAAAAACCAACTTTCTAAACGATGAAAGATTTTATCTTTGGCCACTAGATGGCACTGAATACATGTTTAGAGAACAATAACAGCGTACAGATACATAAACTCTTCTGCAAGCAGAACAATCCGTACTGTTTAGGACTCTGATCTTTTGGGAAACAGAGAGAAAGGAACGGGAATATTTCATTCATAAACATTGGCAGGGATAGATGACAGTTGGGTTCTGCTTCAGAGAGCTGGGAGTTGAAAGATTGCAGTCCATGGTTTGGTGTCACTGCACAATTGACGCAAAAGGGAAGATAGGCAATGACATCATGAGGCATACGGTGTCTTTGTAGATTGCAACAGGTATCTCCAAATTTCTCTTAATTTGCCTCTGCTAAAACAGGTACGTCAGGTTTTTCAACTGGTGTGATACCTGCAAAAGCCATTTGACTAAAATGAACAGTGACAATAATATGCAAAACAACGCAGAATAGGTTGCTGGGAAATGCTTGCCAAGAATCTGAGACGAAGACTAACACCAGCGTCCACTGTCTGCTGTTTCTCAACCTTGGTTACTTTAAGATGTGTGGACTCAACTTCATCTTTGCTGGTTAAATTTGTGGATTAAAATGCACACATCTTAAAAGTTGCCAAGGTTGAGAAATACGGGGGCAACAGCTGTTGAGAGCTCTTTGGGGGGAAATTTTTACTCATGCTGTACCTGGTCCTTGCATCCTGGCTGTGATGTTGCCATACTCTGGGTCTTTGGGGAAACTGGAGTACTCATTGTGAGCTGCTAATGAAATTTCCTGTTATCAGAAGACATTATGGATAAGTTAAAGGGTAGACGTTTTGCAACTGGCATAGCGTAGCAGTTAACTCTTGCAGGAAGAGGAGAAACCAGGATTAAAAATGTATCTTACTGGGTAGGAATTACTGTCAGTCCTACTTTAAGGAATTGTTGGATTCCCAAGCTTTTTGATAAATGTTTGGCTTATGTGTATGTTTGGATTTTTAAAAAAAATCTAAAACCTTTTCATGTAAAATCCTGATTACTATTCTTTTTTCTTCATAGCCAAGTTCCTATCCCATTGGACAATGCTTTCCGCCACGGATGTATGTAAGTCTTTATCATATTAGCAATATTTGCATTTTTTTTCTGGTCCATCGATTATGAAAGATTTCAACTCTAGGCTAACACAGAAGTATGAGAGTCAAAGTCCCACAGATTTAGGGATTTGATACTACTCAGGTAGGAATCCTTTAAAATGGAGCATGGGTAGGAATTTTGGCTCAGCATGGGAACCCAGTCACCCAGTCATTTACACGTTATGTGAATCAGGCCATCACTGTCAGACCTGCTCTGACTTGGTCCTTTAGTCATGAAAGACCCTTGACTCCATTTGTAGTGAAAGGTATATTTTTTCCTAAAAACCAAGTGGATTACAGTATAGCAGAAACCAGAACTAAAGTTTGCATGCCAAAATTCCCTGGTTAACTTTCCCTATCCAATTCTTCTCCTCCCCTGGTCCCTTATTGCCCATATTTGAATAAATAGTTTTGGAACAGTCGCTTCAACGATGGATGGGTTGGTGAGCCATTGCATTCCATTCCATTCCCAGAGTTTTGACCTTGAGCTGATGTCTCTGCTTTGGCTGCCCCTCTCAGTTCATGGCAGACTGAGAGCAAAGGTGAAATTCAGGCAAACGATGGCAGTTCTGACAATCACCTTCAGCCATAATGTTGTTGATTAGTGTAGGCTGTGCCTGGTATGGGAACTCAGCAACTGGGAGGTGTTAACATGTCTTAAGATTAAGCATGGGTGAGAGCGAATGTGGGTAGCAGTTAGGTGTTGCATTCAGCTTCAAGCCCCTCATCTGCCATGGGGGGCTTTGGGCGTGCTGTTCTCTCATAGCTCAACCAGCCTCATTGTGTCATTGTTATGCAATGATATTGAGGGAGGGAGGGTTATATATGTCCCCTGAGGCTACAGAAGTAAAGGGTATAAATCTATCTAAGATATCTAATAAAAATGAACCCAACCTTAGTAATCTGATGTATCTTTTCTAATAAGAGCTGCAATAGGAAAGAATCAGTGCTGTGGGTTGGGCTTGTGCATCATTGGAATTTCCCACAATGCACCAGATTTAACTAGGCTCCTTGGGCATTGTGGGAAATCTGAATGGCTTGGGCAAGAAAACCTTCTGAAAAGAAATCTTAAGAGATCAGCACTGAATCATGGTACGGTCTTGGTTCTTTGGAAAAAAAATCTTAGCCAGAGGCTAAGGCCATCAATGGACATTTACAACTATGACCAGGAAGAGCTATTGGTGCATTCTAAGGGGAAAAATCTTTGCTTAAAGATGTCCCAGGAGGAAGTTTAAAAAGTCGACATGGCAATAGAAGCTCTGGCTTCTCTTTATGTGAATGAGCATGCACATGAAAAAGTGCTGGGGTTTGATTATGTGGTGGAAGCAGACATTTTTATTTTTTCAGACTCACTCCACTGAACACCTATGTACACCAATCAGCCTTTGCTAAATTCGGATTGATAACTTTAAGGTGCAAAACGGGGGAAAATTCAGATTAATTCTAACATTGTTTGTGTGTTCTCTCCACAGCCTCTCCCTTACCGAACTACCATCTGTGGGGGCTTTTCCCCATCCAAATCAATAATGGTCTCAGGTTCTGTGTCTCCTTGTGCTCAGAGGTAAATGCTAAGAAATATTGTTGGTAAAACTTTTTTCCACAGGATTTTATTCTGAATTCATTTATTCAGAATTCCTTTCAAATGAGTGGTTTGGGGCTGCACAGTTAAAAACAGTTAGTTGCCTTTTTAAAAAAGGCACCTTTGAGATGACTGTATAATGCAAGTGTGTTTCTGTGTTTTGTATTTTATCTTTAGCCATAAAAAGTAAATAAACATGGTGGTGTGGGGGGGGGGCGTATAAAGTGCGGCTCCCTCAACAGATGATAAAAGGGATACCGCAAAGGAACACCAGCATGCGTAGAATGAGTTGGCGATACTTTTTAAATATTCCTTCCAGAAACAAAATTCGCCAACCAGAAGCCCAGCCAGTTGGGTAACAGAATGAATCTTCACTCATTGTTCACATCTGTTACCTTGCCTTATGAAATAAAATGAGTGGAAAGGACACACATCCAGGCGTGCACACACCCATTCCAAGAGTACTAAAATGAACTTTGCTGTATTATTTTTCTCAAGTGCAAAGAAAAACAGTCATTACTAGTCACCCTCCATGCATGATAGGATACGATGTGGTTCTCTGTATATCATATACAGTATCTCTGTGTATCTATTTCTATCATCTATCTGTATCAATCACCTATATCATCTATCACCTCTCTCTGTCTATTTATCTGTTATCTATTGAGTTACCTCTTTTTTCCAGAAGTGAAGATCTTTTGATGAAGTCCTAAAAAAAGAGAATCTATCTGGCAAAGAGATTCTTGCTCACCACGTTCACACAGGAATTTCCTTTGAGAAAAATAATGGCTTTTGAATCAGCAATATAATATCTTCAGAAATTAGAATGTTCATAGTGTAGTTTCTGGGTGTGGATAGTTTCCTGCTAATTGTGCAGCGCAACATTTGGGTTTTTTTTATGTAGGTTCGAGATCAATCTGAAAGTGGGGAACTGTATTGCTTTACATATCAACCCACGGTTTGATCAGAATGCGATTGTTCGAAACTCTCTGCTCAACACGTGCTGGGGCTCAGAGGAAAGACACCTACCCTGTGGGATGCCTCTGATGCGTGGCCACCCCTTTACCGTAAGTCAAAGCAGTCTGGTTACTCCACCTGGGCCAAGGGATTGTGTGAACTGACTTAAATTTGCATTTATCAGGCTAGCCTACTGCACTGATTTCGGGATCCTTGGTTCGCCCATACAGTAACACTCTTTTAAAAGTTGCACTGCTAACAATGAAAATTAGGACTGGATTTTTGGTCATAAATTGGTGCGGTTGTAAGTCAACTCACCCTGTTACCTGATTTTACAACTATTTTTACAGTGGCCATAAAGCAAATCACTGTTTCACAATTCAGTCACCAACTAAAATCACTGTTGAACCTGAACTAGTAATAAATATCTGAACCATGGTTAGTACAACATAAACAACCAAATAAAAGAATACATTATACTATGTTACTAATCATATAATGTATAAATACTATAATACAATGTATCCACTTCATCCTTATTACTAAGCATTTACTATGATTTAAATTTGTAAAATTGAAATATGATTCTAAGATAAATCCAAATTTGGGGTGCAGTACCAATTCATGCATTAGGTTGAAGTCTCAGTACTTAAAATCTGTATCAAAGTTACTTTTAGTTGTTCTGGATACTCATTTAGTGACTTTGAGGACATCATCAGATCTTGCAGGTGTTGCTTCTGTGAAACACCTTTGCTGCTTTGTTGTCTGGGAAATGGGTAATTTGTGATGTTAATAGACTAAATACAGATTTAAAAGATCTGGGTTATATTATCGGGTTCCATTAAGGTGATCAGAAATGTGCATTTTCTTTTTATAGATCCGGATTCAGTGTGAAGCACACTGCTTTAAGGTGGCTGTGAACGGAAATCATCAGTTTGACTACAACCATCGCATATGTAACCGTCTGATAAATCTGCTCGAAGTGGACGGTGACATAACATTGACCAACGTCCAAGCTTAAAGTCGTCAGTGAGGTCCATTTTTGGATAGATGCAGTGTTGTGATTCAGCCAGTTCACACTAGTTTGGGAGAACTGGTAGTTAACTTTCTAAGCAGTTCGGCAAACCGGCTGTTAGAAGAAATCTCCTTCCAACACCCTTTTGTTTTCCCCACCTTAAGGGGTTAATCCTGTCAGCAAGGCATGAAGGAGACATTTTGGTGTGCCTCTGTGTGTTGTTTCTAGTAGAATCCTGCTTTTTTTTTATTGCCCTGCTTAAGTGTTTTCAAAAACCGCCTCTGTGGTTAAGCCTGCTTACATTGTAACAGCTGTTCTTGGCAGTACACCCAGACTTTCTGTAGCCTGAGTGGCTTCTCTGGAGTTATTTTTCCTTTGCTGGTAGTTTTACTCTGGGGCTTGACTTTTTTAAAGGGGAAGAGTTGTTTTAAGCTTTTTACACTGCTTTAGTGGTTCCTGGCATTGTCCTTTTTGGGTGTACTTTGAACAGGCTGAACCCCTCTCAGCTACTCCTTGCCTCCTCAGTCCCCAGTTAAGGGTGGGAGGGGGCGATCACGGGCCTCTTTCTTACTTGGATCTGTAATCTTCTCTAAATGGAGTGATCTGGCTACTCTTTGGCTTCTTTGCTTGTTTGTTACCAAAAAAAGGCTCCAGGATGTCTCCCCACCCCACTGATGGGAAAGCAATGAAGTAATCTTTTCAGATTACCACTGCCTGCTTGATAGAGTTAAACAATGCTGGCTAGAAAAAGAAATCTTTTTCAAGCCGTGTCTTTCCCTTTTCCCTCCAATGCAACCTTTCCTTAAATCTGGATGATTTCCTTAGGATATCGTGTGAGTTGAACGAGACCAGCTGGTATCTTTTAAGAGTTAAAAAGGATCTAAGGATTGCTTCTCCTGGGTGGAAAACTCAGTTCACTGAGCACAGGAGCCTCTTGTCTTTGGGGATGCTCCATTCATCCAGGTCATGGTTGTCCCCAAGGGGTTTTTTTCAAGGGGGAACTGGACTTTCTTGGTTTCCAGAAAGTCCAGTTGCCTCTTGAAAAAGCATCCTTGGAGTCTCTTGCATTGCTTCAGAGTGGCCAAAGGCACATGATTGCTCACTTATAGTAAGATTTTTTTTTTTTTAAAAAAAAGGGAGGTACGAGTGCGAATCCTCCTTCCAATTCATTTTAGTTTTCTCTCATGATAATTAGGCTTAATAACATGGCACCAGGTTTGAAGTTTATTTAGTTATCTGTGGCATGTGCTAATTTTATTGTGATCTTGAGAGGGCAGAGACTTGAACGTGGGTCCCCTATATACTTCATTTGTCTCTTTAGCTCGGCATTTTGTAGCCCAAATATGCCCACCCTCTTTCTGGAGTGCTTAAATGACCTCTCTGCTAAAGGATTTCATTTTATGAGCAAGAATTGGCTGCTGATAGTTATCATTGCACTTTAACTATTTTAATTCCTCTAGGTGCTTGTTGAATTATTTGAATCCCACCACTGCATAGATGTGCACACTGCTTCAAGGTAGCTGTGAACGGACTTCATCAGCTTGACTACAACCACTGCATACATAACCTGCTTCAGATAAATCTGCTCGAAGTGGACGGTGACGTAACGTTGGCCAACATCCAGGCTTAAAGTTTCCAGTAGAGGTCCATTTTTGGATGGAGATGCAATTGATGTGCAATGTTGAACTTTACTACCTGAAGTTTGAACAAATGCTCTTTTCAGTTTTTAAGAACCATAGTTCACTTTTTTCCCTTCCAATCTAATTGTTTGAATAAACTAGCTTTGTTCATATCTAGTTTTGTTTGCTGACTCAAGTGTGATAAACTGACATTCTGATTCTGAATTAGACACCATGGAAATTTCAGGATTATATCCTCCCTTTTTGCTGTTTTGGGCTAAGTAAGTGGGAAAAGAAGTTCAATGGGACAAGTGCCAATAATATTTCTGACAGATGGTGCCCAGTTTATTTGGGTGATGTCAGAGCATTTAAAAAGCACTTTGCTTGCTGAAAAACAGCTTACAAAATAATAGTCTCTGTCTTTCAATTTACAGTCTAAAAAGGACATGGCTTATAAAGAATGTAATTGGGGAGGGGAAAAAAAAGAAAACTTTAAACATCAGTCAAGGATATCAGCGGCTTGCACAGAGGAACCCAAGTGTTATCATCTCAGAGCAGATGCTTCTCCTACTCTACCTTAGAGTGAGGACAGTTTTGAAGAAAAGGAAACCCACTTTTCAGCCCTCATTAACAGTATCAAATGAGTAGAAAATGGCCATTTCTGTGCCATTTGTTCCTTTGCTTCCTCACAAAGTGGTGCCAAGTCACACACTTTCAGTAAGTTTCTTCTTTGCCATGTGCCATGTGAGACCAGCAGCTTAGCTTAGCCACCTCCATGCGCTATTCGTGATAGCTTCTGGGGAAAGCAACTAGAACAATCCTTGTGTGATTGGGAGAGCCATAATCCCATTCAGGAAGGTCACTCATTATTCTACACATACTCTATTGGAGTGGGCAGCTGTAACAGATTTGGATGGATGGATGGATATGTTCAAGTGCTCCCCCGACAGCAAAGAACTGCAGCCCAGGAACTTTGTAAATTGCTCAGATGGAAAAAGCTAGTCCATGAAAAACAGCCCAATGTGTGGAGGCGATACCCATCTTGTCAAAAGAAGCTCCAAATTTATCCAGATAAGAATCAGTTAAACATTGGGAGTTGGTTCTTCAGCATTCTAGCTCTGACATCAGCTGCAGAACACTGAACACTTCAGATAATGATTGGAGAATTCTGCTAATCTATGATGGACAAGTTATTTCTCCAAAGTTTATGCAATCAAGTAGAAAAATGAATAATGCCAATGAGGAACTCACAAATGGTTTTATTCAAGTTCTTTTGTACAGTTTTTCCCCCTCACATTGATCCTTCCCAATTCCCCAAGATGTGAGACAAAAAACACATGTTCAAGTCAATAGATGATCTGATTTTATTTGCCCTGTGGTGATAAGAGACCAGCTCCTTCAGAAGGGCAAGACAGGCTCTTGAAGAACATTCAAGGAAGGACAATCAATAGGCCACCATTTGGGACAGAGGTCTTATTTAAGATTAGGATCATCAATACCAATTCGGTCTCAACAAATGCTGGTCCTTTGTTTGAAAGGTGGCTGTAATGCCAATGTTGAAGTTCTCAAAAGACTCGTTTTCAGCAAATACTGTAGTAACATATTGGGGATGGGTTGATACTATTGGAATGTGAAATCGGGTTGTGATGTGGTGTTGAGAGCCAGCTTGGTGTAAAGGTTAAGGCACTAGCTAACAACTGTGAGTTCTAGCCCTGTCTTAGGGACAAAGTCTGCTGGGTGACCCTTCAGCCAATCCCTCTCTCAGACCTGGGAAAAAGGAGGTCCAGAAACCACAATCCTTTCCTTGTAACATTATGAGCCTGGAAAACATGACCCCCAGCAGCAGTGCATTAGGCATATATTATGGAAGGCCAGGAACATCCACAGAGGAAGTCAGAAAAGTCAAGATGGCAACTGCAATGACATAATTAATTTCTGTCCCTTTTTATGCGTGATGTGCATGCAATCATGTAGTTACTGTTGTCATCTTGATTTTTTAAAAAATCCTCTCCTTACATGCCCTTATGCAAGCACCTACAAGAAGTTCCAGTTTTTGGTTTTAAATGAGGTTAGTCTTTTCTCTTCTGAACATACAAAAGCAGGGTGAAAACAGCCCACAAAAGCTGCCCCTTTGTCCAAGAATGGAATTTAAATAATAATATAATAAAGACTGATCACTACAAAAGTTCCAATAAAACATACATAGTCTAAAAGAATTAAATATAATTAAATAAAATAGTACAATATGTAGTGTTTTATCCAAAACCCAAACTATTTGGTTTTGTGGTGCAAATTTCTGCTTAAACTGGTCCACGTTGGCAGACGCTGCTGTGAAAGCAACATCTGGGGACCCCTGTTGAGGCTAAAGAAGGCCTCTGTGTAGGAAGTTACGGTTAAAGTTTTAGCTGGACTTGAGATTCTAAGACTTTTAGGGGTCTTTCAGTTTTTATTTCTTCCATAGTTCTTTGGTTCTCTCTTGGAAACGTTGCTCCAAATATGTCCTCTTTGTATCGTTTTTGCCTCTGTCAAAACAACACAAGGAAAGTTAAGAATCGGTGGAATTGTTTCAGTATAATTCCTGTGGAATTTTAAATAGAGGCCTGGATGGACACAAATTGTTCAAACCAGCATCATTCATAGGGTGGGTCAAAATTTGACTCACAGTGAGTGCAATGCTACAATCCAAGCCAGGTCCTTTAGTTACATGCATACATAAAAAGGGGTAATGCTTAAGATTGCAGCTACTTGCCTTTCATTTTGATCATTTGCTGTGGATTCCCCTCCAATGCAAACTCAGTTAAATTGGGGGAAAATATTCTATAAATATGTTAATTCACCTGATTCAATAAATAAATTGAGATACCCAGGATTGCCATCCAATACGTCCTGACCAGCAGTTCCATTGTTACATTAGTCAGCTTGGTTACAGAGTGGGGCCCATACTGGCAGAGCCCAGTCATCACTTCTGAATTAGTTAAAAGTCTTATTGGATCCCTCCTGCTCATTCTAAGATTTGGAGTCCAAGACTTCTGCCCCCCTGCATGCTAGACTAAAATTTGGGAGATGATGGAAATTAGAATCCCTTTTAGGGTCTGAGCTTGGAAATCTAAAAATCAAAGATTGCCAGTTTCTTAAGACTTCCCATAGTAATTTGTGTCCCCCAAAGACATTTCCTTGCCCGCTTAGAAGATCATTCCTAAAGTCATTCAACCAAATAATAAACTCGGACTCCTTTTGTTGAGGAATGCCAGAAGCCTGGATGACCCCAGAAGACAAGACATGAATTGAGAACTTTCACCCATTCCATAGATCATGTTTACAATGTGGATCAGTTTAGGACTGAGTTTGGCAGCCAACCAAATGGAAATGGGTCATCGTACCTTCAGCTGGAAACAGTAGTCCTCTGCTTCCTCTTCGGTCAAGCTCAGCTTCTTTGCAAACATCTCCTTTAAAGTCTTAGCCACTTCGCTGGCCATGCGGATGTCCCCGCAGACATACAAGTATCCCTCTTCTTCATGGAGAAGCCTGTATACTTCTGCTTCTAATTTGTTCCGAAGCAGGTCCTGCACATAAACCTGAACCATTTGCATATCATTCAGATTTTTTTCTAAGAGAGCTGCAATATTTAATCACTTAATAAGCTGAATCATTAGTCTAGTGCTTGCCAGAGATTTCTGGGTTACAGTTCCCATTAGCCCTCCCCCGCGAGGCTGGTGGCCAGGATTATGAAATTAATTTATCTGTTGAAGGTATGGAATCGGGATGCTTTGACTACAAAGCTTTTTAGAGCAGAGCAAATTAGCAGTGAATAATTCTTTTCAAAGAGACTGACAAACATATACTCTAAAAATAAGGAAGAAGAGAAGGGAAAAAGAAAATTGAAGTATACTTCCAAAACATTTTGAAGGCACTAGGCAGTGGTGGCTAACCTTTCTGGGCTCCTGTGTCAAAAACTGTGCACACACTTGCACGCTTGGCCTCATGTGCCAGCACCCAGAAGGCAATGCGCATCCCCCCACGCCCCTACACATGTGCGCGCAATCCCCACCCACTCCCCGCCGCTCCCTTACCTGCACTGCACCTCACAGCTGATTTTTGGCTGATTTGAGGCCTTTTTTGGCCTCCCAGAGGTTTGAGGAAAGCTTCTGCAGGCTTTGCAGGCCGAAAACTAGCCCCGTTTTGTCACTTCCGATATTTTCAGAAAAACAGGAAGTGATGAAACGGGGCTAGTTTTTGGCCTGCAAAACCTGCAGAAGCCTTCCTCAAGCCTTTGGGAGGCTGAAAAAGGCCTCAAACCAGCCGAAAATCAACTGTGAGGCGCACACATGTGCAGTCAGGTAAGTTTGCCTGCAGCTCGTGTGCCGGCACAAATGGCTCTGCGTGCCACCTGTGACAGCACATGTGCCATAGGTTCGCCATCATGGCACCATTGTGTCTATCGCCCAGCAGTTGGACAACCTATAGCACAGCTAGGACAAATAACTACTAGAATCCCAATATTTTAGAGCACAGCACTGATAATGTATATACAGTACTATTAGAAGAGGCTATCTATAGCTCAGAGTTGAACTGTGCTGTTCTTGGTGTTCTTGGTTGGTTGCTTGCAGAATTTTCATGACCCAGCTAGGTAAGTTCATCACTGCAAGCAAGTGTGAAGTTTGCTGTCATACACAATTGCTCTGATGAGGTTACTTAGATACAGAAGATAAAGATCATGTACAAGTAGTCCTCAATTTATAACCACAATTGAGCCCAATATTTCTGTTGCTAAGTGAGACATTTGTTAAGTGAGTTTTGTCCTATTTTACGGCCTTTCTTGCCGGAGTTGTTAAGTGAATTACTGCAGTTGTTTAGTTATGAACACAGTTGTTAAGTGAATCTGGCTTCCCTGCTGATCTTTGCTTGTCAGAAGGTCGCAAAAGGTCATCCCATAACCCTGGGACGCTGCAACAGTCATAAATGTGAGTCAGTTGTCAAGCGTCTGAATTTAGAACACGGACCACAGGGATGC